CGGCGCTCGGGCCCCTTCCCCCGCGGGGAGCCCGGCCCGGCGGCGGCGGGGCCCACAGCGAACGGAGGCGGTCTCCGCCGGGAAACGGGGGACCGAGCAGGTCTCTCTGTCTGTCTCCCCCTCCTAGGGCCCCGCCGCCGGTAGTTCTGACCCATTTGAAATGCTCGAGAAATACCGCAGGCAGCGCCGCGGTGCGCTACTGCCCGTTACCTGCCTGCACGGAGACCCACGGAAAGCCCAGATAGGGAAAAACTGTTCCAATATCATCAGCTTTTCCACCCGCCTTTCATCCTTGCCGACTAACGCCATTAAAAACCCGCTTTTCCGGGGCCATGGGAACAGGCACGACCCCGCGGCAGCCCTTCGAGCTTTACCACAAATGCTGTTTGTGTGCCAACAGGACGCCGCAGAAAGAGCTGGCCCAACACTAAAAAGACTCCAGACCTTCTTCTTCCACTGGCAGGGCCGATAAGCGTTGGTTCCTCCTTTCCGAAGGCCTTTATCTCTGCAGACCACAGGGATCTTCCACCCCTCGGCGTCTGCGAGCGGCCGTGAAGAAATCTAGCCTAATGAGATTCCACCGGTTTAACCGACAATAACATGCCAACGACAACTGCGGTACTTCATCCTCACCCAGCGTAACCACTGCTGCTGCCAACATGTCCAGGCTGCTACGGGAAATAAGATTAGGATGGAAAACAGCTGGTCCAGATTGGAGCCAAAGAAGGCTCAAGTGATACTGGATAGAAAAGAGGAACGCTCGAATCGGAAGTTACCCGAGATGTTTTTAGCACCTTTCACAGAAAGCACACAGCCCTCATTCAGCAAAAAAGAGGCAGATTTCCACCGCTCGCACTCATTTTGGCTGTCCAAGTAGCATGCATTTTCCAAAATACTCTCTTTCACCTTCACCTTGTTGGGAAACTCTCTCGTCTCGCCCAGGAGGCTCTGGGCAGAGGAAGGCAGGCATTTTTCATATTGGGCTGGATTAGTTGCAACTCACTGTATCAAGCTAAAAATACTGTTTCAAACTTGTTACTGGGAAAAAGAGAGTTGGTTTGGAGCAAATGCTTCAAGCTCAAGTCCTCTGAATAGCTCCTAGCCAGCTCCAAATGCCAGCATAAGGCACTGGCCCTGTTGGCCAAAGAGCCATCGGATCAGCCCCAGTAACATCACAGGCTGCGTGAAGATCTACAAACAACTGCAGCAGCTATCGCAACAGCACAGATTACAAGCCCCAGAACAAAACACAGCAGAGCAGATGAAGTGTGCCTTTTCTGAGGTTATCCAGACAAAGGAGAATAAGTGAGTCTGGAGTATGCAACATTGCAGGTATCTTTCAGAAACATTTGAAAAAGGTTTTCCACTACAAGAGACATTCACAGGTTATCACCAAACTTCGAATGGTCTCCAATCAAAGTAGTAGTACTTCCTTCTTACCCCACCACCCCCGCCAAGCTAAAAGCACAAGCTAAAAATCCAAATTACTTAAGTCTAGTTCCAACTCAGCAAATAGAGAGAGGTCCCCTGCTATTACCCAGGGGAAGTTGGGGTTGTTACTCACTTTATGCAAAAAGCTACTCAGACATTTTGGTGAGGGAAGGAGTATAAAAGACTAGCTTTATTTATCTACAACACTCACTTGACTCCTACTTCCACGTATCTCCTCCCAGACCCAATTCTCCCTTCCTGTTCTCCTTCAGATCCATCTCTCTTCTCTCACTCATCAAACCTCCAACCACCCCTTGCACTCAAGCTCTGTGTCCTCGCTCCTATTCCCTGTCCCAGCTCCCAGCCATTTTACGATTTCATATTCCCTACTCACCCTCCTTGATTCAATGTATTTGCTCAGGCAGTTTCATTTTTCACCACCTTTCTCCTTGACCCTATCCCCATCTTTCATCGTCTTGATTTTCCACCTTCCCTGAGTTTTTCAGCCAGTCCCAGCCCCATACCTGCTTGGGTTCCTTCTGCAGCTCCCAGGCTGGACAGCCTTTCCTAGCCAATTCCAATCTCCATCCTTAACAGTCCAGTCCAGTGTCATTTCATCCTCACTCCAGTACTGGCTAGCCTGCCACCCAGTTTCTGGCTGCGGCTGCTATATGGTTACAACTTCTCCTGGAAATGAAAGAAAAATCTAAGTACAAAATGCTGGCAAGTTTTTAAACTATGTTCCTCTTAAGATGTATTTTGGTAGAATGAAAACATTTGTAACCTTAACTTTGTATTAATGGTATATTTTGGTGTGGATTTAAATGTATTCCTAAATAATCATCTACATAAAAGATGAAAATAAACATTTTCTGATGTTTTTACTAGAATGTTACTAAGGGTAGGAATCATTGGCACTTAGAAAGGAAAGTACAAGTCATTTAAAACCTCAACATTATTTACAATAATTTTGTCTCTGTGTAAATAATTTTCTTTTATTATTTATTTTGAAGTTTTCTATGTCATGAATTCAGAGGCCACAGAAGTTATAGCACTGTAATAGCAGCCACTGTAATGCATAGTGCTTTGATATGCTGGATTGCCTGTTATACCTATGGTGGTTTAACCCCAGCCAGCAATTAAGTACCACGCAGCTGCTCACTCATTTCCCTCCCACCCAGTGGGATGGGGGAGAGAATCAGGGGAAAAAAGTAAAACTCGTGGGTTGAGATAAGAACAGTTTAATAGAACAGAAAGGAAGACAATAATAATGATAATAATAACAATAACAAAATTACAATAATAATAATAAAAGGATTGGAATATACAAAACAAGTGATGCACAGTGCAATTGCTCACCACTCGCTGACTGATGCCCAGTTAGTTCCTGAGCAGCGATCCGCCCCACCTGGCCAACTCCCCCCAGTTTACATACTGGGCATGACATCACATGGTATGGAATACCCCTTTGGCCAGTTTGGGTCAGCTGTCCTGGCTGTGTCCCCTCCTAACTTCTTGTGCCCCTCCAGCCTTCTTGCTGGCTGGGCATGAGAAGCTGAAAAATCCTTGACTTAGTCTAAACACTACTTAGCGACAACTGAAAATATCAGTGTGTTATCAACATTCTTCTCATACTGAACCCAAAACGTAACACTATACCAGCTACTAGAAAGAAAATTAACTCTATCCCAGCCAAAACCAGGACAACACCACATAGCATAAATAATAAAAATGGTAGATACATGCACTCTCTGTCAATATATAGGCAAAAAATACACCCGTCAAAACTAGCAGATGTATAGTACACTTATGTTTAGAGATTGGCACCTACTGGAAATACAGATAAGAAGTTGTGTAATAGTAGTAGACACAGCTTTTTCCTCCCTTTCATCTATTTTCATTGGATCTTTTAATCATGTACTTTGCCTTTTGTAGTTCTCTAAAATATTTCACATATATTAGACTTTATGGCCCCTCTGTTCAAATAAAGCACTTAAACATGTTTACTTTTAAGCACCTCTCAGGCTCCATTGACTTCAATGGAAGATACATAGTCTTAAATTTACACACGTGCTAAAGTGTCTCCCTGAAGATTGATCCCTAAGGAAAGTAACCCTGTTTAAACAATAAGGAAAGAGTACATGTGCCACATGAAAAAATTCTTGGAATTCCTTGGTTCTTCAGAAGAGCTTAAGAGACAGCTACTTTAAAATGCAAAATTATCAGTCCAGTCAAAGGTGGTACTTCTCACATTTTGAGCATCATGTACGCGCAGGGGATTCAGAACAATCTATTCTGGAGACAAACTGCATTTTTCAAATGTCTCATAACCCAACAGGGGTAAATCTGTTTGGGTTTTCTTCCTCCAACTTTTTTTTTTTTTTTTTTTAAATTTACACTGTTTCAGTGAAAAGTTTCTCCCAAAAGGAAGTCCAAGGACAAAGTTCTAAAAGAGTGAAAATAAGCCTACAATAGCTCAGAGAATAAAATTCAGGACTCCTCGATGTTGCTTCTCTTTTTGGATCATCACTAATTTTTAGCAGGCTTGATGAGTTTGACTCGGCCTCCACCTTTGTTGTTCCTCTCCTGCAAAGACTTACCAAGCGCTTAGTTTCACTGAGTACCTGCCTGCTTTTATATATGGACTCCTGGCTCTAATTCTCTATGTATCATCCAGGATTCTCTTATTATAATCTCATTTGTATTGCCTATTTTTAACATACATGCACTGCTGGAACTCACCTCTCATCCTTCTAATGAGGTCCTACAGAACATGAAAGGCTAAATAACATTACATAAAATAGTGCTAATTCTTTCTTTTCCATGGTCTAGTGAGTTTCTTCTGGTGGAAAGAGTGCCACACAAAAAACCTGTAAGAGTGCCCTGTTATGACATCCCAAAGTTCCACTCCTATTCCTACCTTGTTTGCTTATTTGTTTACTTATAATAGCCTTTTAAATATGCTTAATATTTTAGTATCTTTTTTATATTTAAAAAAAAAAAGTCCATTGCCTTTTAAAGACTGGAAGTTAAAAATATCTTTAATTGCCTGATACTCAGCTAAGAACAGTTCCAGGTACATAAGATGCATTGTAGCTGTAACCACAGTCTCCATGTTTTCTTATCAGCTTTGAAGGGCTTGCATACAACAGTTCATTATCTTAAGGTGGAAACAGGACTTGAAATATTACACCAGAAAAGCAGTATTCCTATTATACTGACACTATATAAATCTT